TTTTTTTTTTTTTTTTTTTTTTTTTTTTTTTTCTGGTAATGGAGAATTCTATTTTTTCTTTATTTTTTTCGTCCACATGTGATAATATAATTTTTTTTAATTATTTTTAAAATATTTTAATTGAAATTATGCGACGTTTAAAAAACCCCATGAGTTTATGACGTATTAAAGTGTGGAAATATATATATATATATATATATATTTTTATCAAAATTAATGAATTTATAAATATTTTTATACTGATTTTCATTAAAATTAATTTGTGGGCCAATTATTGGCCAAATTCAAACAACTCAACGAATTTAAGGTCAAAAATGAATTTTCTTTTCTTTTCTTTTTCACTTTAAGACTGAAATTTCCAAATTATTCTTAATTTGGTTGCCAAATATATTATTTCTACAAGTTTTGGTCATTGTCCCATTATGAACCGTTAAAAGTCTATAATTGTTGTGAATTTTTTTAGGGTTCAAAAATTTCGAGCCTTATTTCACGAGTTTTATGGCTAGAGATGTCTCATGTAGAGTCAGGGCTGTGGAACCCGCCCTAAATGAGAAAGGGATATCCCGTTTAGACGGAAAATGAAAAAATAGACAAGATTATATTCTCTGTTCCTGTCTCATCCACTTAATATAAATATATTTTTATCACATATTAAAATATTCTTTTTGATTATATTAAAAAAAATAAATTAGTTAATTTTAATATTTAAACCAAAGAGTCTATCGTATATTTTTTATATTTTAAAATTAATAATATAATATTAAAATTAAAATTTAAAAATTTAAAAATTATATTGTAGAGCATGTGATTATGAAAAACATTCATTAATGATTATTTTTTTTTTAATAAAAATTTTAAAATAATATTTAAAAATGTAGTCCGAATCTTAACAAAAATAAATAGAAAATTTTACGACAATATCTTATTCTTTCATTATACAACAAGATTTTGTGTTACCATTTAATGTTTGGATAAATATAACACTATAAAATCAATAAGAAGTGGATATATTAAATCAAATGTCAATTATGAAGATCCCAACAAAGATTCTCATCAAATTTTGCCTTTTTGTTCAAATCTCAATTTTAATACTTTTCTTCTTTTTAAAATAAATATATTATAATTTTTCAATAAACTTTTACTATTACCATCATTTGTATACCTTATTTTTTTATTTTTTTTATATATATTCTTCTCGATTAATTAAAAATGAGAGCCTACAATAAAAAAAAAAAAAATCAATATTCAAATGGTAAAAAAATAATTCACTTTAAAATGGTCGAAGGTATCATTTTTAGTCGACTCTACTTTAGAACACAGTCTATATCTAATTGTTCTTAATGTCATATAGGTCCGAGTTGAACAGTCTATATCTATTGTCATTAAGAACGAGCCAAATAAATCTAATATTTATGGTATTTTAGTCCTTTAGTAAATTCCATTAATATTAAAATATTATGTTTTTCTTTTTTTCTCCAATTTTTGTCATTTTTTTAAATACTGCAATTAATTAATTAATTAATTAATTAATTTATCTTGTTAGCTATCATACTTGTAAAACCTAGGGTGGCTGAATACTGGCTTCAGTTAGGTAATTTGGGCCAAGCCCACTCATCTTGAGAAGTTGATAAGCCCAATATGTTTTACTTGAGGCCCGTTAGGCCCATTGGGAAATTGATGGGCCCAAACAAATGGCCTCGCTTACACGTAACTGTTTGACAAAAAGCCCGAAGGAATTAAGGGTTTTTTTTTTGGAAATATATTTTTTAAAAAAATTAATTTATAATTTTTTAAAAATAGAATTTAGATTAAAAAATATAAAAAATTCATAGTAAATTTAATAATATTTCTTAACAAGAAACTTTCAACGTTACAAAATAGTATCCCGTACACACATATTTGAAGTGAGCAGGATGATACGATCGTACACTTTTAACTGTACGACGTTGTGATCTTGACACTCTCACGACGAATCTTAAAGGAAACTCAAGCATCATAATCATTTTTCGCTTAGCTTTGTAGCATCGTCGAACTTTTGCCAACAAAACATCGCTTGTGCAAAATCTAAGCTTCTTCAGCCACATACGCTGTTTGTATGTGTATGTCCAATCGTTGCGACATAACTAACAACTCCATTGTGACACTCTTCCAACAACATGACCCACGCATCGTGATGTTGTCTGATGTCTCAAAACACATTGACCACCTAAGAATTGGACTAACCAACAACTGTCACATGTATCTCATTTTTATCGTGAATGGGCCTTGTGTTCCTCCTTCACACTTGTTGTGAGTGTGTCAAGATCACGATGTCACACAGTTGAAGAGTACGATCGTGACATGGGGCAGGACGGAAATTTAACCTTGTCTCATTGAATTAATAGGTAAAAGATTTCTCCTAACTCTTTCGCTAATTTCTATTTAAACGGGAATTCTCCACATACTTTGAAGCAAATTCTCGTAGGTTAAATGAATATTTCTAACGTAAATAAAAAGCGTTTTGACCTCAAAAGGGCGTGTGCCCTTAGAATCTAAGAAACCGTCCAAAAGCAAAGTGACAAAATGGAAGGTAAATGAGACCATTTCAATCCCCAAATATCTCCCACTACTGACACACTTAGATTTCATTCCTCTCCCTACCCCTATCCCCTCTCTCCCTCTCTATATCTAGTAGGGCATAAGTGAATTCTCTAAACGGGTCGATACGGATAGTGGTACGACAGATATCAAAGTCCTATTTGTCACTCGGTTCCTTTACTTTTTCGATATCTATTCAAGGTATAAGTGGATTGGTCGAAATTCTTTTTTTTTTAACATAACCTACGTATAAGCTCGAGAGAATAAAATACCCAACCGTATTTTATTTCATTCACCAACACTTTAGTTGAAGAGATTCAAATATACATAGATCCTTAGCTAACAACTAGTTGAGCCATGTTCAAATTGAAATAATATGCCATCGATAGGTCAAATGCACGATGTTGTAGGGCGGGTAGCCGCAGGCAATGTGGGCGGCCACCCAAGAGAAGAAAGAAAAGGTAAAAAAGTGGAGGACGCATTAGAGGGGAATAAAGGGCAGGCTGAGTATCTGTTGGATAAAAACGTCTGGACACGAAACCATACACTATTTTCATCATAGGCTGCCTTGGGTGGGTGCCTTCCACGCCAGCCTTCATCATGCAACAAAAACATTTTTAATTATATAATAAAACCAATCAAATCTTATTTTTTTTACTTTCCTAATCCTTTAATGGTTCAGTACAACTCGACCAACCTGAAAATAGCGTTCATAACTTATCTACACCATACTTTAAAATTGTTATGAAAAAAATAAGAATGTTTGATATTTGAATTTTAATGAATTTTTGTATATAAGTATAATATTTTTCAATAATTAAAATTCGACTACTCAACATAACTCATCTTGAAAATAAAATATTGGGTTGTGAACCTTAGTCAAGTCATTCGCGTTATTAACCTGTTCGGTCTGGTTTTTATTAGTTATACCTTTAAAAATAATAAATGTATATTGCTCGATTAAGAGGTTAGAAGTTCGAATTTCTTAAGTACACTAGGGTAATTTCTTGGGGAATAGAGAGAATTATAATTTTTTTTTTTTTTTTTGGCTTTTTTTCTCCACTACTACACAAAATGGTTCAAAAATCTTAGGCGTGGCAAGGCTAAGTGGGGTGCATTATCATGAAATTTATGATTTTTTTTTAATATATATATATTTTATTTTCGAGGCCCCAAGCTTCTTGGTACTTCCACGTCACCATCCCTATATCTCTAATGTGAAGCCCCACTTCCCATTTTTGGATTTTTTTTTAAACTGAAAAAAGAAATAAATTAAAAAGAAAAAAAAAAGAACAAGTCAACCCCACATTCAGCACTCTCATTAACCAATTGAATTCATCCACATCATCATCCTCTGAACTCTTGCCACGTGGCATATAAATGATAAAATTCCATCTAACTCCCTGACTAGAAAATCGCCGCCTTGATTTCTTTTATCTAGTACAGCCGCCGCATTCCACCGGCTTTTTCCGGCGCGCCGTGAAGGTTTGAAACACGACGCTTCCGATAGCTGGGAACTCGTCCGCCGTACAACTCCGGCATTTCAATCCAAGCGGCTCCATTGCTCCGACCACCCTCGTCCACACTCGATGCGACGCGGAGGTCGTCGACACCGAAACCTTCGCCGGTCGGAACACCTGAACTGCCCTCTTCAACATCCGAACCAAATCCTCGCCGTCGCCGTCGTCGTCGTCGTCGTAAATCGAACCAACACACTCAAAACTAGCGTAACTGTAACCGTCCTCCGGCGTGACATGGATCGTGGAGTACCGATCGCCGTCGATTCCATTCATCGAGTAGCCACAAGGGTCAAACCCAAAATCACAAACAAGAGCATTGGGGTTAATTTTATTAATTCCGGCGAGTTCCGTCATCTCTTTTCCGGCAGCGTCGCCGGATTTTCCATCTCCGGGACGGCGGAAGAATTTCCGAGCCAGAGTCCGGTCGAGCTCCGTCATACAAATTTCCACCGTGTAAAAATCAGGAAGCAAACGGGTTTGATCGCAGGCGGAGAACACGTGCCAAGCATGTGAGGGGAGATTGGAAGGCATAATGGAAGCCTTGCGGAAACAGAGGTTGTTAGGGAGGGTATTTTCAAGGTACAGAGCTTCGTCGTGGAAGCTTGTGTGAGGGAAAGGCTGTGACAGAGGAAAGATAAAGTTACCGCGGGTGTAACGGCAGCAGGAGAGTGTAAGGCCGAGATTAAGCGCGTGGTGGAGCAATGGAGGGATGGATTTGAGTAGCTGAGTGGTCCCACAGGTTTTGATGATGATTTTGGTTGGGTAAACGAAAAGGCTGGATTCGGATAACACGTAAGCGTCAAAGTAATGGTTACCGACGGCGGAGACGACGGTGCATTGGACTTCGCGTAGGACTTGTTCCAGAGAATCGAAGCTGATTTGGCGAAGGCCCACATTGAGGAAGACTGGGTCGTCGCCGGAGAAATGGAGCTCCAGGCGCTTTTCGAAGCCTTCGAAACCGGAAACCGCCATTAAAAGAGGTGGAGAGATTGGGAGAGAGAGAGAATATTGGAGTAGAGGGTGGGAGAGAGAATGGGAGAGGGTGAAATTTATAGGTGGGAATAATGGGAAGCTTAGAGAGATATAGAGAGAGAGGTTAAGAGAGCATGCGGATGAGGCAACCAAGAATAATGATTGTGAGCATTATAATGAAGAAGTGAATAAGAGATGATAATGCCACATCAAATATATTTATATTTCTTTGCTTATGGTTATAATAATAATATACTTTTGGAGGAAAAAAAAAATTTTAATTTGGCCTCTTAAACTATAAATTAATATTTTAAATGTTGTAATTTTATAGTTAATTCCTTTTCATTTTAAGTGTTTAAATTATAAATAATATGCCCGTCATGAAATTGTTAAAATAAAAAAAAAAACGACATTAAAACTTAAAATTGTGTTATGGTTGAAGTTGTAAAAGCACCATCCACCTCAGTGTACACATTAGTTAATTTAGGGAATGATCATGGTACGAGGCCATGAGAGCTTATGCTCGAAATGGACAAATCATGCCATTGTGAAGAGTCGTGATTCTTAACATGGTATAAGAGACATGCCCTAAACTTAGTCATGACAATAAAATCCTCAAATATCGAACAAAGATTGTGTCACCCTTTGTTCGAGGGCTTCAGAGAAAGAAGTCGAGCCTCATTAAGGGAAGGTTGTTTGAGAACTTATAATGTACTTTGTTTGAGGGGAGCATGGTTGGGAGTGAGCCCCACATTGGCTAATTTAGGAATTGGAAACCCAAATCAAAATCCGCTTATAACAGAACTTTATGCTAAATATTTAAATTTTTTGAATTAATATTTAAATTAGGAATTGGTGGTATTATTTGGGAGCATTATAATGCATAAACCATCAATTAATGATTGATATCAGATTAGAGTGGATGGTTTAAACTAAACTAATCACTCGATTAATTTCTTTGATTAGTGTTAATTAATTAAACATCCAAGTTTCCATATAACTTTAATTTTATTTGAATTTGATTAATTATTCACCATTTTGGTTTTATTTTTATTAAGAAAATTGGATAAACTCAATTAATTATTTTATTTGTGAAGTTATTGGTTATAAGTATTTTTTTTTAATGATGATTTATGGGACATTATCATATAAATTCTTATAATAAATATTAAAATATGGATAATTTTGTAAATTAGAGCTTAATTGGTGTTTATATGTCTCAAAACAATGATTAAATCTGCCTTTTAGAAGTGACTTTGTATAATTTTTTTATTATCTAAATAAAATATTTGGGAAAATACATTGTTTGTAAAGTCTATTATTGGGTAAAAATTTAAATTTTATTTTATTTATTTATTTATTTTATTGTCCAATTATTTTAATTGTAACGAAAAAAAAACAATTTATATTTATTAAAATTATGTGATTACAAACTAATAATTATATGAATTTAAATCTTTAATTTTCATAAATAAATTAATATGAAATAGCAAGAAAAATTATTACATATATATATATATATTTATAAATAAGTAGTGAAAATTCAGAAAATGAAATAAATGAAAAATTGCTCAAATTTATTAAAAACGATATTATTCTACAAAAATGGGCTAAATTAATTTATTCGTAAAAATTTATAATTTATATTGATATAATTATTATTTTCAGATTTTATTATAACGATGAAAATTAAAAAATTTCCGTAATTAGTTTGGTAAGAATTAGGAAAATAATAATTAGTTTAAGTGATTTAAAATAAAAGAAAAATAAATAATTAGTTTGAGAGAGAGAGAGAGAGGGACAAGGTGATGAAGGAACCGTACAAAACCATGAAAGGAACCGAAGTTGTGAGGGACAGAACATGTCTGTCTATTCCTAAGAAAGCAAATAATTTTTATTTTTATTTTTTTTATTATTATGAATTAATAATAAATAAATAAATAAAACAAGACGTGCCCAAAAACAGTACCAAAATGCATGCCCTTTCTCTCTATTTATGTATAACATAACAAACCCACAAAAGGGAAACATTAAAAAAACAAAATTCATCCAATGAATTAGCATTCAATTGGTCAAAAATTTAGAGTGTGAAGTGTCGTTCCTATCAATGGTATCAGAGTCGTACCCTTAATTTAGCCATGTCAATAGAAACCTTAAGTGTCGGATAAGGAAAAGCTCAATGATATACTTTGTTCGATGGTTTTAGAGAATGAGTTTTCGTGGTATCAGAGTCATACCCTTATCGTGTCAATAAAGTTCTCAAGTGTCGGACAATAAAAGACTCTATGATATACTTTGTTCGAGGGCTCCAGAGAATCAGTTGTTGTGGTATCAGAGTCATACCCTTATCTTAACGTAATCACGTTAATAGAATCCTCAAGTGTCAGAAAAGGGAAGACTCAATGGTATACTTTGTTCGAGGGCTCTAAAGAATGAGTTGTCGTAGTATCAGAGTCATACCTTTATCTTAACTTAGTCACGTGAGTAGAATCCTCAAGTATCGAACAAGAGGAGACTCAATGGTATATTTTGTTCGAAGGCTCTCGAGAATAAGTGGTTAAGGGAGACTTAGAAGGAGTTCTCAAAGGAGGCTAAATAGTGTACTTTGTTCGAGAAAAGGATTGATGATGATTATTTTCCCACATTAGGTAATTGAAGAGAGATCATGAGTATATAAGTAAGAGACACTATCGAACAATCAAAAGCTGATTAAATCACGGTTAGAGAAAAGGGATACTTAGAGTGTAAATGAGAAGGAAGAGAGCGAAAAGGAAGTAAAATGAGTGTGTTTTTGGAACAACAAGATTGAGTGCCGTCAAAACTGTGTCATTTCCCTATTTGGTTGTCGCATTAATTCTTAGCTTTTAATTTAAGACTATTCCACGCCACAAGATTAGGTCAATAATTCAATTCAAACAAGCTTCTTCTTCCCTTCATTATTGTTATGCATAACCTATTTACGACACTCTTTCGAGATTCATGACCTAATCGTAGGAAGCTTACTCTATAGAACAAGTCAGTTGACTTAAAGTCTATTTACGATCACTAGTAAATATTGTCAATTTTAGCTCGTTACGTATCATCGTCAGCCTCACGGTTTTAAAACGTGTCTATTAGGGAGAGGTTTCACACTCTTATAAAGAATGCTTCGTTTCCTTCTCCAACCGATATGAGACCTCACAATCCACCCTCCTTAGGAGTTTAGCATCCTTGTTGGCACATCGCACGGTGTCTAGCTTTGATACCATTTGTCACAGCCTAAGTCTATCATTAACAAATATTGCTTGCAATGGCTCATTATGTATCACCATCCATCTCACGATTTCAAAGCACCTGTCCATGACACAAATGGCCTCTAATTTAGTCTCCACTCTATTCTTAGAATAAACATTAATAGCATATGAATAGAGTACGAGATTAGAAACCATGTAATTTAACGTGGCCTCCCTTGTGATTTACTTGCATAGAAGACGTTATGAGAGTTTAATCAAGATGGGTATGACGAGTTTGCTAAAGAATGACTCGTGATTTAGTAGCACATCAAAGATAATGAATAGATTCGAGTTCATTCAATAAAATATATTCTTAAAATCATACCTTAACAAATATATATATATATAAAATTGGGTTGAAAAAATTCTTTGGACCAACTCGAAATTTTGAATGGGTCGAGTTGTTGACTTGAGCAATTTGAATAGAGCTCCCAATCCATCAATCTAATTATCTAAGGTATATATTATATTAATGACTAAAATCTCATAAATCTCATAAGTTAAACATTCACAAGTCACAACGCATCACTAACATTGGTCACACAAGTCAAATGTTCTTAATTTTCTTAATAATATTAAAAAATAGGGTAGGGTTGAGTTGGATTGTAACACTGTTTTTTAGTTGATGGAGTTGACTTGACAAAAAAATGTCAACTTGCTAATCGACTAGATTAGTAGCTAAAAATTCAACTCAACTCAAATCGAAAAAATGGTTACATTTAAATTATTAACGTATTATTATTAATTTAACTATATAGATAATGTGAAGTATTTAGTGGAATTTTTAAAAATAATAAATACAATTGTATTATTATTATTATTATTATTATTATTATTATTTTCTTGGAAAAGTGGTCAACCAAAAACTACTTTTAATTATCAATATCTCTTCTTATTAAATCTTAAAAAAAAAAAAATAATAATAAATATAATTAGGGTTTTGTTAGTGTGGGAGAAGCAGAAAGGGCGGTGGGGCCCACAAGGGCAACCTTTAGGGTTTTTGGGAACACCATAAGCCTTTAGCACACCCAAGAATCATGGATCTTCCTTCTCCAACTCTATGACTGGGTCCCACAAATCGGCTGTATGTACCCCCGACAACCACCATAAGTGGGCCCACCGAACCACAAAATCATCCGACGTGTGTCCCAACAGCTCAACTTAGTGGGCCCACAGACGACCCCCCCCTGTTTTGTCTTTTTTCAGTTCGACAAGTCGTCCCCACTTTGCGACGCTTGTGTTTGTGCGACAATCGGCACAGTGCTACAACAATTTAGCTGATAGCCGCCATATATGGATACGGATTTTGCACGCCTTAAAACACTTCCAACAACAAACACATGTGCCCATTTGCTGCCTTGAAATATTATAAATTTTCATAAACCCCATTAAATGTTAAACCTATTTCATATTTATTAGATATAAAATTTAAAAATTTAAAATTATTAGATAAACATCACACAACTTTTAAAAAATAAAAAAAAATTGTCAGATATTGTCCTGTATCACTGTCAACCACACGATTTTAAAACACATCTACTAAGAAAACATTTTCACACCCTTATAAATAATGTTTTGTTTCTACCACATTCTTTATAAGGGTGTGAAAATTCATCTCTAATAAACACGTTTTAAAATCGTGAGACTGACAACAATACATAACGGATCAAAAGCGAACAATATCTGCTAACGATGGAGTGAAACGATATATCTAATATATTATTACATTAAATGGTATCAAATTTTATAATTATGTAAAAAGATATTATATACTAAGAGAAATTCTTATTTCTTTGCAATTTAGGAAACTTTATTTAATTTAACTTAATGTATTACATACC